ACTGTGTTCTGTCTGGTGCAGAGCGCCATGCTGGTTCCCAGGTGCCAAGCAGCCTCGCTTTGTGTCCACTATCGTCACGTCTCGCTCCTCGTGTTTATATGGTGTGTGTCTGTATCAGTCTGCTTCTGTTCACTTTCTCATTTATAGAGAACACTGAAAACCACTCTGAAACACCGGCAGCTCCTGCTCTACCTCCTTCTGCTCCTCCTAAGCCTAGACCCAAACCTAAACCCAAAAAATCACCTGTGCCTCCGAAAGGGGCCACTGCTGGGGCCAGCCACAAAGGTGACGAAGTGCCTCCCATTAAAAAAAATACCAAGGCTTCTGGTAAGCAGACCCCCGTCCCTCCACCCAAGCCAACAAGCCGAAACACAACCCGAGAGTCTGGTGAGTATGCCCCCAGTGTCCTGTGGGGTCACTTCTAGGGTGCCTGGCTCTGGGATGGGGCTAATTGTTTCTTCTATGTGTGATGGGCTTTGGTGTCTTAGGACCTTACACCAGCAGATTCAGCTCTGACACAAAGAATGCCCAGGAGATTCCTTTGTTGCTGTCTACCAAAGGACCATCAACTCATTGAAGAGTTCACCTCATTAGCTTTTGAGTGAATGTACTGGTTTGAGTGTCCACTGTCAGCACCAGTTGAAGGATACTTGGAGTAGTATGCCCGGTGGATGACAATGATCTGATATACTGATGACATTATTTAGACATTGACTGACCTTCTACCTATATGAGTTTATGGATGGCTTTTTGGCTTGGATTTTCTTTCAAAATATCTTAGGTTTGCATGTAAAAATGTGACAATTATAACTTTGATACATTTGCTGGATGTTAATGTGTTAAATCCTCAGCATCCATCGTCATCTCCCTCCTGATAAATGAAAAAAAGGGTTCATATGACCTGTTTCAGCTCCACCCCACCACTTTCTACTGCAGTCAAAACTGTTTCAGTGGAGCTGAAAGTTACCTTCTCAGGGCTCCACACCTTCCCTGTAGACTTGCGTGTTCTAGGGCAAAGCATCCTGGTGTCCTGTGGTTTTAAGTTGCTATTACAGATCACCAGTGGATGTTTGAGTGACCTGCAATACCTTCATGCAATACGTATCCAGCTTTGCTTTACAATCAGATATGCTCAATGCAAAGTGGAAACTCCCATTTTTCTAGTGAAGAGGAATAAAGATGCCTACCGTGTACTTTACCTTTTAAAAGGACATTAATCAGGCCAGGCCTGGTGGCTCACACCTGTAATCCCAGCACTTTGGGAGGCTGACTCAGGTCCCTCACTTGAGGTCAAGAGTTTGAGACCAGCCTGGTCAACATGGTGAAGTGCCCCCTCTGCTAAAAATACAAAAATTACCTGGACATGGTGGTACACACCTCTAATCCAAGCTACTTGGGAGGCTGAGGCAGGAGAATCGCTTGAACTCAGGAGGCAGAAGTTGCAGTGAGCTCAGATCGTGCCACTGCACTCCAGCCTGGGCGACAGAGTGAGACTCCATCTCGAAAAAAATCTTACTATCCTTAAAATTAATAGCAGCTTTCTAGCAGTTGTCTGCCAGGATTTGCCTTGGTGTTGATCTTTTCCCCTCATAATGTATGCCCTTAATGCTCAAATTCAGAGAGCGGTTTAGTTGACAGTATAACAGATCTCTGAATGCCAGTAGACGTCCCTCTCCCTGTGCTCCTCCCTTCCCACCTTTGACCTTTAGTGTCTGGGTCTCCTCTAATAAGCTCTAAACTGAAATGTCCCAGAATGGTGTGCCAACAGTGCCCAGTGGCCATCGCCTCAGGGGCCAGCTGTCCTCACCCATCAGAGTCCGTTCATGTTGGGATCTGTGTGTTTTCCAGACTTCCTAGCAAACCCTAGGAGCATTGCTTAAAATAAGGCAGGCACTGATCTACTTCCTGAAGAACAGCCCCAAACGATCACTCTGTCATTGGGAATTAAGCTCCTGTCTTGCACTAGCTTCTCCACTTTCCCATTCTCCACATGGTAGTGGCTCACTCTGAACTCGGCTTGGACTCTCTTTACTTCCCTGAGAAGAAAGCCGATGATTCACACAAGGACAGAGAGCAGCTTTCATGAGCGATTTTGAGGTTTTCTCTAGATATTTTGTTTGAAGACTGATTTAGGCACTCATGATGTTCCTAAGAGAATAGCACAGTCATTTTAGTCATTGTATTGTAAAAGGCCCGACCTTTTTAGAGGCTATCACAGAGAAACGGGGTTGCATTTAAGTACACCAACAAGGCCATCATGTAAGGATCGTTTTATCCAATACTGATAATATCCCTTGATGATCCGACTGATACTCCGTTTGTGAACATTTAGAACTTTCTGCATGGTAACTTTGTTTTATTTGAATAATATGGACCTTCCAGAAAAGTTTGTTCAAATGCAGCTCTTGATGTTCAATCCAATGATTTAAGTTCTTAAAGCAGTCATCAGTTAAGATTCTTTTCTCTATTATTAAGTTAGTATAAACCTCCACCTGCCCAGGTATCAGTTTTAGAACATTCAGCCTCTTTGCTGGGGAAGTAGGGGTAAATCTGCTTGATTTTGGTTTCTCATTGTTACACGTTATTAACAACAAACATACTTAACAGAAGAGAGGTGGCATGTTTTTATTATGCCCTTAATTCAAGGTAACTTAAGCAACATGTTTGCTTTCAACAAAGACCTGTCATTTAAGAAGGTTCTTTAAAAAAAAAAAAAACTATAATGTGGCTTGAATTTGCACTCTGAGCATTGAAAAAAATATTTTTCCTCAAGCCAAGCTAAAATTAACTTTTCTGTTAACGATGAAAGACTTTTCTTGGCCGGTCATCATGGCTCACGCTTGTAATCTCAGCACTTTGGGAGGCTGAGGTGGGCAGATCACCTGAGGTCAGGAGCTCGAGACCAGCCTGTCCAACATGCTGAAGCCCCTCTACTAAAAATACAGAAATTACCCAGGCATGGTGGCAGGTGCCTGTAATCCCAGCTACTTGGGAGGCTGAGGCAGGAGAATCACTTGAACCCGGGAGGCAGAGGTTGCAGTGAGCCGAGCTTGTGCCACTCCACTCTAGCCTGAGTGACAGACTGAGACTCTGTCTCCAAAAAGAAAAGAATTTCCTTTACAAATTATTAGAATTGATATGTGGAAAGAATTCTGTTTAACTTACCTAAGAAAATAATTGAACATGGTTAGGCACCAAATCCTTAGCGTTTTTGTTGTGAAAAGTAAATGTAGAATGGATGTTGATTGAAGGAGTCTGCTTAATGAGTTTGACTTCTAGGCTAGGGAAGGTTGTTTTTTATAAAGATGTATTAACAAGTTTAGATCTGGGGGAGAACAGTTCTATTTATGTATATCTTAAACCATAAAGACCCTAAAACCATAGGGACTCCTTTTAAGCCTGGAACCTGTCACTAAAAGAGACTGGCTTCTTTAGTATCAGTCTAATCAGAATTAATGAAGTTTTACATCTCATTGTCTATTCTTTTATTTATTCTTCATCTCTTCACCCTCCCAATTGACTTCAATAAAGTCATAACCAGAGGTAAGTTACAATAATATCTGTATACAGTGTGGATTGGCTTCATGATACTAACAAGGTATTTTCTAATCGTTCTATGAAAGCTAGTTGAACCCTCATGAAAAGAAGGAACTTACAACATTATAGCAGAAGAAGCCATTACGAGAAATTTATAGGTCATAAAAGTCTTGAAACAGAAGAGTATTCTCAGAGGAGTTTATTTTATCATCATGTATTTACTAAGATGACATAAAGAAAGGAGTAGTTAATCTTTTTGTTCTGAAACTGTTTGGGTTGAGGGTGCCCTATCTGTAAGTAGGCAAATATACTGTAGCGATCCTCCAATGAAGATCTTCTGGGACCTTAAGCATTAAGGAAGATTACATTTGTGAAAGTGGGGTCAGAAGACCTGAGAATGATATTCTTTCCCTTAACATTATTTAGGACCAGGCATGGTCCTGTCTATAATCCTTTGGAGTCACCAAAGCCTCTCACTTTGCGAGGCTGAGGTGGGTGGATCCCTTGAGCCCAGGAGTTCAAGACCAGCCTGGCCAACAGGACAAAACCCTGTCTTAACAGAAATATGTTAAAAAATTAGCTGGGCATGGTGGCACACACCTGTAGTCCCAGCTACTCAGGAGGCTGAGGCTGGAGGACCACCTAAGACCAGGAGGCAGAGGTTGCAGGGAGCCAAGATTATACCACTGCACTCCAGCCTGGGTGACAGAGCAAGACCCTGTCTCAAAAAAAAAAGAAATTAGGAGCAACCCATGTAAATATATTTTGTAAAAAACAAGTTTTTTCCAGGCTTTTGATGTTTTGAAGGGAGTATACCTTTCCTGTGTGGCCATGGGTTTTCCCTTTGCCCCATCTCTACTGCAGATGGAAGTAGAGGCCAGCATGGCAAGCTTCCTTCTCTGGAGCTACGGGAACAGCTGGATTGCATTTTACTCTTTTAGCAGTAAGATGAGTGATTTTGTTTTTGACCCAGAAAGGAGCTGGATATATACTCCAGCCTCTTCTGAATACGGGCCACCACTCTAGTCCTAGAAGGACATCATACAACATGTATAATTTATGATGAGCCCAGCTGTGTGCTGCCCCCAGCTAGCTGCTGGTGTTTGTCCTCTGCATACCATAACATTCCTTCTTGAGAGCAGACTGGGCTTTCTCAAGTGACCCATAGACAAGGAGCAGAGGATTCTCCCTTTGGCTGGCTCAGCTAAAGACTAAAGGTGGGAGAAGACAGAGGGTTCCTGTTCCTCCAAGTTTTGTCATAAACATCACTTACTCCTTGCTGGATTGTAGGATGGGAGGGACAGAAGACAAGATCATTATCTTTATTGGCCTATTTTCTCTTACTCATTTATTTGACAAATTTTAAAGGGAACATTTTAAATGTTGTTGACAGTTACATCTTAGTTACTTTATTTTAAAAAGCATTGTATTTGATTTTTTAATGCAAAGTCTCTCTGTTGTAGCTGGCTCCTCTCATTCAAAAAAACAAACTGGCTCTAAAGCATCAGCTTCGCCATCCACTTCATCCACCTCATCTCGTCCCAAAGCTTCAAAGGAGACAGTATCTGGCAAAACAGGGACAGTGGGGACCACCAAGGGCAAGAAAAAAACTGGCAAGCAGGCAACGTCTTCTCACCTGTCCTCAGACACAACCACTTCTGGCACATCCAGCCTGAAAGGAGAGCCTTCGGAGACCAGAGTGGAGAGTCTCAAACTCGAACAGACTGTCCCTGGAGCCGAGGAGCAGAACGCAGGCAAATCCAAGTCCACGATCCCTCCAACCCCTGTGGCTCCCACACCTTCTCCTCCTGCCCCTCCTCTCCCTCTTGAAGATCAATGCATTACTGCCTCAGATACTCCCGTTGTCCTGGTCAGCGTTGGAGCTGACCTGCCCGTCTCTGCCTTAGACCCAAGTCAGCTTCTTTGGGCTGAAGAGCCAATGAACAGAACCACTCTCCACTCAGGCACTGACTTAAGTGTTAACAGAGAAAATGCAAAATGGTAAGTTGGGGAACAAGCTCCCTATTTTATCTGAGAACTAAAGATCACTAATGTATTGTGCTGGACATGAAGCAAACAGGTTTGCTTTCTTTTATAATTTAACCTACTGAGTGTTAGGCATACATATGATCCAACCATTGGTAGAGCCAACAAATACCACTTGAGATCGGTGTTTTCAAGTACAGTTAGAGCCTGCCTCAGCACTACCCAGCGGTCCTCAGTTCCCTTCTCTTTCCTTTCAGTGCTTATTTTAAATCTTTACCACGTGGGTCCAGTCTGCTCACCCACTCACATCAGCAAGTTACTGAGCTTTCCTCTTCTCCAAGAACATAAAGAAGATCAGACGAGAACTCTCAAATTGGAACTCTTTTTTCTCCAGCAGTAGAGTTGGCCCCCTTCTTGTTCCTTTAAATTCCCACCCAGGTGAAATGTTAGGTCCTCTGTGAAGCCATTCAGTACTTCCAGACAGAATTGATTATTGTGTCTGCTATCTGTAGACAACCCTTTTTCCTACCTGTGGGACAGAATTAGCCAACGTA